ATTAGTGAAGCAGACATCTCAAGACCCAGCTATTTTATCAGACACACAGTATAGGATGAGGAAATGTTGGTATCCTTGAAAAATTCTACTTTGAGGTGACCTTCTACTTAGCCAGGCTCATTATGCAAAACAAAAATAATTGTGCATCTTCTTCCTGGTCTCACTTAAGAAGGTTTTTGGCAAACTTCAAATTACAAATAATGATTTAACCCATAGATTTATGCTAATACACAGCAGCTCAGGCAGCACATGCATCCTGTACAATTCCCCAGAGACACTGGTTTACAGTGGGTTTTTTTTTACTTAGCAGCAACACATATAAGCTTTTACTTAAAAAAACCACTACACATCTACATCTACTTGGGTCCAGATTTTTTAAATAGTAAATACTACTGTGACATCTTTAAATAATAAAGAACTTGGTGGTCCCCCAGAGTAGTTTTCTCACTGCAAATAGTTGCAAAGCTATGCTGAAAATCTGGCTCACTTCAGTGCCTAAGTAGTTCAGATTTCTTTCATTCTTATTCAGAAATATGGCACCTTTTACAGGGCAAACAAGTGAATATATATCATACTCAATTTGTAAGCTATAATATATTCAAAGACATTTATGGCTACTGAAAAATGTTTATTTTAGTCAGAAGGAAAATCAATTAAATCACCATGAGGAATATCCTCTAATTTTTATATAAGCCTTTTCAGCAACGCACTGTAGGCAACAAAGGAGTTTCATACAATGTTTACTTAATAAAGTCACATTTCTTTAAAGTTAGGTATTAGAATACAGAGAATCAAATTAGAGAGATGCTTAAGTACCTAAATAGAAACAACAAACACAGGTAAGAGATTTTAAGGTTAATGGAAAGTTGACTATTAGGAAGCAACCACCAGGACCACAAATAGTGCAAAGTCCACGAGACTGGAAAGGATGATAAAACTTCATAAGACCATTGAAAGAGAAAAGAACTGGTCAAAAAAAGGGAGAGGCTTCCCAAAAAGGCCAAAGAATTGGCAGGAATGGAAGGGAATACATAAGGAGACACAGATGGTATATATTGCCATTACGTATTGAAACCAGGTGAGGCATAACTTAGGTAATAGCTAAGGATTTGGCTGTGCAAAGCCATAGATAGATGAGATAATAGGTACAATGGGATCATGTTCTATTCTTGGTACAGGAGAGAATCTGAATAAACTTTCTTGTACAATATCTATACAATTCCCTTTAGTTTGCTATCATATTCTGAGCACTGAAATGTGTCACAATATTTACTTTTTTCTTTCCAAACCAGTCTTCTCTTCTGAAACTATTTCATAAATATTAGTCTTTGTCTGTGCCTGCCATCATGTATACCTATATCTATCTATCTATCTATATATAGATAGATATCTCTATATATATATACTCACACACACACTCTGACACATTTTTCCAGTCTCAGACATTCTCCAGTCAGGTGAGGATGGAGACATTCCTGAGCCTTTCAGGATTCTCATGGAGATCTTAGACTAGGAGTGGTTTTTTTGTTTGTTTTTGTTCTTGTTTGGCTTTTTGCAGGGGAGGGAATGGGAGGACTTTTTTTTATAAGTTGGTTTTGGGGTTTTTTTGTTTATTTTGGTGTGTTTATTTATTTTGGCCCTTTGTCATTTTTTGCTTATTTGAAAATAAAGAAAATTTTGAGTGCTGTCTTATGGTGGTGGGCTTAGCCAAACTGTTAGGCACACAGTCTGCTAGTTTTGAGTGGTTCTTAATATCCCACACTTTCTTTTTCCCTAAACGAGATTAACAGCCAGAGAAACTTGGAAATACTCCTCTTTTCGCCCCCTGTTTTGAGTGAACCAATGCAACGGGCACTCTAGGAAATGCCCCTTTCCCTGCTCTTTCCTGTGGATCGGTGCAACAGGCAGCCTGGAGATACCCCTTTTGGCCAGGCCCTTCCCTTTCCTGCTCTGTCCCGGGTGGGTGCATCAGGCAGTATGAGGGCTCCCTTGCCCGTTTCCCTTTCCTGCTCTGTCCCGGGTGGGTGCATCAGGCAGCATGAGGGCTCCCTTGCCCGTTTCCCCGTTTCCCGCTCTCCCGCCCGCCGCTCGGTGTCCGCTCTGCGGGCCGGGGCCTGCGGTTCCTGCAGCAGCAGCGCCACCTGCTGTCCCTTCCCGGCGCTGCTGCGGCCGCCGCCGTGCGCGCCCCAAGACGGAGCTTCTCACCCAAGTGTCCAAATAACAGCAAAGAATTTTTTTTTTTACTTTACTTTCCTGTGGTTTTTTCTGGTTTGTTGTTTTGTTGGGTGTTTTTTTCCTATCAGGGGACAGCCCGATCCCTCCCCGTGCCCTGCAAAGCTCCTGCTGGCCGCGCGGGTCAGTAACATTTACGTGACATTTTCCAGCAGAGCGGCTCTAAAATCCTCACCTTCTCCACATTAGTGAAAAAGGATAAAACCAACAAAGGAGAAAAGCCTGGTACGATTCTGATTAAGTACAGCCACTAAGGTAAACACTGAAGTGGAGGCTGTCAACTTGCTCCCCAGGAACAGCCCCAACATTTCTGTTTGAGCATCTCGGGGTGGCAGGGTTATGGTACAGGCAGGGCAGCAGACCAGGACAGCATATTAACAAAAGAGTAGCTGCATTTCCTTGAACACCCTTTCTAAATCTTGTTTTTAGAGTAGAGGAATAACTCATCTTCCAAGATCACGTTCTGTCAATAGTTTAATCTACAACCAATTAAGTCATATTCACTGTTAATTTCACATGCACATACACAATTTGCTTGCTTTCATTAGTGGGAATGTGCTTAGGGTTTTTTTTAAGAAGAGCTCTTTTTTTTTTCTCTGCACCACTGTCTGATAGAAGTCCTTCTGATGGCTTACAGAGCAGTGGTGGCCCACAAAAGCAGAATCTGAGATGGGCTGAAGAGCAGCCCCACTGATGAAGCTGCAGGGATCTTTCATATATTAAATATTTGATTTATTTGATAGGGGCCCATACTTGCTCTTGGCATTGCTCTTTTTTTTGTTGTTGTTGTTGTTGCTGTTGGGGTTTTGTTGGCTTGTCTTTTTTTAAAATTTAGCTTGTTCTCATAACATCTGCAGTAGATTCTTTTATGCATAAAAACAAAGTCATATCTTGCACTACCTTACAGGTAGTAAAAGAACTGATCTACTAGTGCAATGTATTTCTCAAAGTAGTTGGGTTCATTTTGGCAATGAAATTTATCAAAGCTGTACTTTACCCTCAGCCAAACAAACTGTGAGCTGTAACAGAGGAATAAATATTTTTCATATTATAATGTGGTTCATTTAAAATGACAGCTCCTTCTATCTATTAAACATTACCTATTCTCCAGGCTGGAATCAAGACTGCTTTCAGAGAGTATTCAGCTTGCTACTGAAACGATTTGAATAGGTCTAGTGCAACACTGTAAAATGATCAAGGCAAAAAGCCAGTCAATAAAACTGTCAGTTTTACCCTAATAAAGGAGGAAGGCCTTTACTATTTCTCTGTAGCAGACAGTTTATTGTCCAGCTGTATGCAATGGCTTCAGGACATCTGGCCACTTAATCACTGAGTATCAAGTCCAGAGCTCCAAAGGAGCTATAAGCAAAATAATCAGTGGTCGAATTCACTTTTGTACTAAAGACCCTGCACACAGCTCTGATATCAACAGACTGTATGATCTTGGTCTAAAATACATTTTAACATTCCTTCTAGCTTTCAGAACACAACAAAGAGCTTTGATTAAAAGACAAGTGTGTCTGAAGAGCCTCATATTGCCCAGGATAGGTCGTACTGTTTATATGGTGGGGCATGAGTCTGGGAAATGCAGGAGTGCCTTGAACTCAGCCAGGAGCTGCTGGGACCTTGTCCCAGTGCCTGCCTTAATCCAGCTGGAAGTGTCAAGAGCATCAGTGCTCCCTGCTGGGAGGCATAACAACCCTCTCAGCTGAGACTGGGTGGCTGTCAAATGCTCTGCTTTGAAGAAAGGTACCTTTGACCCAATCCAGAGGTTTAAAGGATATGACTATGCCAATATGGTACTGCTGGGAAGGCAGTGATATTCTTTGTTCTAGTTACCCTAAAAGCAGCTCCTGCCCAGACTGAAATATCCACCAAATAACACAACCCCTTGAAGTAGCCTCTTCCCCGTACAAACCCTTCTGTAAGGCCTCAGGTTTGTGCAGATAGAAATCCCCTTGCTTTAGCAAACACATCAATCTCTCACTTTCATTGCTACAGATTAAGGCTTAAAAATACACTTGATATCTGGATTTTCTGGTTTATTCAACAGAGTTAAATTTCAATATATTGATATGAGCTGCAAGGCTTATTTCCTTCAGGGTGCAATCAAAGCATGTGGATTTCCACAGCTCCAAGTGTACAGCTTTGGTACAGAAGCTGCTGTGGAAGCCCACAGGTATCTGATGTCAGAATAGACTGAGAGACCATGATGATGGGCAGTGCTGGTCTGTCTGTGTGTTTTCACTTTTGAAAGTGATCCTGCATCCTGTGCTTTAAAAAACTTCCTCCAGGATAGTTCTGGAAAGTGATTACACATCATGATGGTACCTGCCCTCATCCCCAGTTTCTCAGGAAGCACTGCTCCTCCCTGTCTGATGAGTCTAGTAGGGATCTGTGTTATCCTGCAAAAAAGGTGGATTTGGAAAGCCTCAAGTGATCTTCTTCCTACACCTGTGTGCCCAGAGGGACACTCACAAAGAGGCTGGGCCAACACAGCACAGATTTTGCTGAAGAACTTACAGGAAGTAGTAACCAGCTCATTTGTTTAGCTGTTGTAGTAAATTGTCACCATATCCCCAGGCACTCTCAGACTGTGGCGGTCTCAAAGATAGGAAGGAAACATTAATGCATTACATAGAGGAGGGACACAAGAGAAGGGCACGGGGAGTTAAGAGTGGAAAAAAGGAACAAATGCCAAATATCCCTTCTTTCCAGGTGAGTTCCTTCTCTCTACTGAAATACAGAGCTCTCCCTTTATCACCTACCATTTCCTTTGTGCTTGTTCTGTTGTGGAGGAATCTGTCTGGTGAAATGAAACATCTCATCCCAGAAATGAGGTAGCTGCTAAGTGAGTGCATTGGCTTCACACAGTCATCAAGGCAAACGCCTTAGGACTGAGCTATTTGACCTGCAATGGAAAACAATTTTGCTTTTTTCCTTCCCACTGGGTATAAGTCTTCCCTGTCTCTCTGTTGTGCTAGTGAAAGCAAATTTCACTGGAAACTGAATCTATTTACAAATATTTTGACAGATTGCGACAGTTGCTCAGGAAAAAAATGATTAAATATATGCAGATAAAATATAGTGTCATGTGAACAGCTGCTGCACAGACCCACAGTCTACATGGATATAATATTATTTATGCTTTTTAAAGGCTATGTGGGTGTCCCTGTAAAACAGAAACAGAAAACACTACTCCTGTTGGTGACAAATTATAGAAAAAACTCAGATGATTAATCCTCCAAAACGTGCAGTCTTGAATTTTTTTTAACTTTCTGGCAGGAAGATATACATGCAAAATTGTACCAACACTGCTCTTGTATACACTCACATGTCCCATTCCATAGATCTCATCGGCAGCTCCCTTTGAGGCTGTCTCAGTTCCTGACTGGAACAGGTCATTACGTGTGTGCCTCAATCCATCATTCCTGAAGTATCCTGCAAAGAGATTGCCATTAGAAGCCAGTGCAGTGAAACCAACTATCTTCCATCTAGAGCATGACTTGCATTTTTGTGTCATATCTTATTTTTCTATTTCTAACATTATATTACCTATCTATATTGTTACTTTTCTGTAGGGACAGAGATCATGCTGTACCTGCTTTTCCTGTACCAATTACTGCTATTTTAAGACTGTGTAGAGATGTCTGCAAATAAACATTAGCTGGAAGTTCCTGATGCTTTCCCCTGACACTGTCATTGGAACATTATGACCATAAACACCCTTGCCTATAGCAGTTATAATCGATTTTGTTTCAAATTCTGGACACCTGAGCAATGAAACACTCCAAGTGTTCCAAATACCAGGATCAGTCTATAAACAAAGGGCAACAAAATTCAGATGCAGCTGTTGCACCGAGTGACATGAGCAGACAAACTGCTTCTCCACAAATGCCAGCACTTGCTATAACCTGTCTTGCCCAGCACTATACGGAATACTCACAATCTGCACAAGGCTGTGATCCTAACTGCAAACATACAGACTTCCTCACCTTTACAGAGACCAAGATACATGTTTTGACACCCAAATTCATACAATCAATCCAACACTAGAAAACAAAACATCAGTGTGAGAAAAATAATTCAAAGAGCTTTGGTCTCTGAGAGTTCAAATAATCTTTTCATGCAGTAAGACTGCAATACCCAGATAAAAACATGCTTGTTCAGCTGGATCTTCACTTAGAAAATGGAAGTGCAGGGTGCTCAGAGAGCAGCCATGAAGCAGCCTTGCACAGTCAGAGCCACTCTGCACATGAGCTCCCCCCAGCAGGACACAATCCTGCAATGGCAGAGCAAGCTCAGCATGTCTGCTGGCTCCTGCCCAGCCCCAGCGAGCAGGGCAGATGATATTCTAGAGCCTCACAGTGCCAAACCAGCTCCTGCTCTCAGACAATCAGAACTGTGGGATGCCTTTACTTCTAAATACAAGAAGCCCTACAGAATCCAGCATGAGGCTATAAAGAATTTAGAGATGAATGGGATATGCTCACCCAAAGGCAAATCTTGCAAGGATAACTTGGAATAATGCTGAGGGTTTTAAAGAGTGAACCACCCCATAGCAAAAAAGGTGATAGTAGAAATAATCTATAAATGCCCTATTCAAATGTACAAGATGTCTCTTACTGTTTTATCATTCTTTGAGCACTTCCCTTGTTAAATCCTACTTTGCAACTGATGAAAAAAAATATCCACAGTGTTTCATAATGACATGGCAGAGATACTTTAAGGCTGCTGATGAATAAGGAGGCCTTGAAAACCACTATGACCGTGCTGTTCTTTGTTTGCCACATCAGAAAACAAATGCCAAACGTCTTCATTCAGGGTCTTCTATTCATCAATTCCACCCCACCCCCCTCCCAAAAGAAAAAAAACACAGAAGAAAACCTGGCACTAGAAATGACACTGTTGAAAACCATTCTCAAGGCCAGTGCCAGTTTACTGAGGAACTGTTGTTTGTGAACTGGTACTCCAGCTTGCCATCATGCACTGCTCAGGGGTCAGGAACTATTTGACTCATGTTTTCTTTTACCTTGAAAATTTGGTGAGCTGTCACTGAGCATACATTTAAGAAATCCATGCATGCCCACCAACAGCTGCATTATATGTATTTTTATATTTGTATTATATGTCTTTTGAAATTGTGATGCATTTGCTGACCCCTAATTAATAAGCATTTTTGGACAAGGGTCAAAAGACAAAAAATACCTATATATCCACAGATGATGATAGGAAAACCTGTCACATGGCAGCAAGGAGAACAAAGGCAACAACTGCCTGTATACCTTGGGAAGCTGACACTACATCAGCAGATACTGGAGTCTGTCCGGTGTAAGGATGGGGCTCAGGAGCTCTCAGAGCTCTGTGAACCACAGAGTTCACCATCTAGTCCCTTGAGAGAAAAATACTGCAACTTCTTACCTTGCACTAATAGTTTCAAGTTAATTTTAAAAAGAAAGCTTTCTGAACCATAGAAATTAATTTTTTTGCATCACTTTGTTAAGAACTAATAAGCAGGTGCATTTACCACTAAATTTCTTCATGATAAAATGTATTCCAACTTTATGAAGAAGCTTATACTACTGTTAATTAAGATGAATAGTTTCAGGAGATTCTGAGAAAAATAACTCCTATACTCATAAAACTTGATGATAAAATCTGATGTGTTAGAGAGAAATGTGATTACTCTAATGCATTATAATGCTTGATACATAGTCTCACAGCTCTCCCCTGCTGTGTTTTGTATAAACTATGAAGTCAACAAAGCACTGATAAAGAAACAAATTAAAGGTAGGATTCACATGATTCATATTTCAATAGAGAGGAATTAAAATAGATAATGGCCCCCAGACAAAGAAGGAAAAAACAGAATTTCTTGCAGTATTTCATCCCTGACCCCATTAGGACTTTTTGATACTGCAGGTCTATCCTCTCTCTAATTAGTACAAACATTAACTGTTAAGTCACCCGACTTCAATTTATGATTTATGTCTACAACATAAAAACTTGGTACTGTATTTGAAAAAGATTATATGCCTGGTATAAACTGTTTAATGAATGTCTGAGAATCTCTACCTTTTGTCAGAAATCTGCATTCATTGCAAGCCTGAACCACTGTTCTTAAGCTCCTCCTCATCTGATGAGATGGCAAAGTGACCTCATTGAAAATTTCTTTCCATGGACTATTTTCATCTGCATCCTTCTAAACTCATTTCTCTCAATTTCAGAGAAGCAAAGAAACTGAAGAACTGCTTAAAGGAGTAGATGAAAAGCAGAATGTGACCATGTTACCAATGAAACACACTAAGAGGAGTCACATCTGTAGCTCATATTCTGGTAACACAATGGACCTGCCCTGCTGACAGCAGCAGCACGTTGCCAAAGCTGCAGTGGCACCAACAGCCTTCAGTGGGACACAAAAGCACAAACACTTCTCCTGTGAGAGACCTTGACAGTGCTGCCCAGGAGCCCAGGCTTTGTGTACCATGAGGAACAGCTTGCTGCTTTTCTGTACAACCCAAATATTCAGGGCTACCAGCTGCTGATAAGCATTTGCCAAAGGCATCCACTTCATTATTTAAGCACGACACTGGAAATGCAACAGTAAACTTTTCACGGGCCTTTCTGGGCTGGATTTTGCTAATTATGGCTAAATATATTTTTAAAAGTCATAATTGTGTTTAAACACATAGTTTCTGATATAGAATCCTGAGCCTAGTTGTGCCTTTCATTTCTCTGGTGGTCAGCTTAATAAAACAGGATACATTTCAACTTAGTTCACTGTGTGTGGATTCATGGCTTAACTGCGGGACTCTGTTGAATATATTCTGCATTGCATAGCTGGGCACAAAAGAGAATAATTGTTCAGAATGTGCTCTCTACTCCAAGGTAAACACTGAAAACTGATTTTAGTAAATATTTGTACTGTGTTATACCAGTTGAGTATATGCTCTGTGCTAGGCAAATGAGCAGCCCCAGGGTATTATCTTCATGGACTGTTTGCAGTTCTATAAAGCTCTCATCACATCTACTCACTAAAATAATTTGTGATATTGAATATCAAAAAGGGCTCCACAATGCAAACAAGACAGTTTCCATTGTGCTGCTTTTATAGTTTGACATCTATGAGAGCACTTAAAGGAATTAAGCTGAGCGTGAGCAGGTGTTCTGTCTTTGCCTTGTGTGCTGAGTACTGACTATGAGGTGTCCACATGATCTTGGGATAAAACACAGAAAACTGAAACTTTTACAGGAAACCAGCAACTGAAGGAAGCAACTTTGATGTGTCATTACTTTCAGTTGCAAAGGGAAAGACAAACCTTACATAAATGCACAGTGATGTCACTTTGGCAACACAAGCACTTCTTTTCCTCACTCTGTATCTGTTCCTGGACCTTTCAGACTAATTTCTAAAAAATAATAAATTAATCTAAAATAATGGCAAAGTCACCTTCCCCTGCTTGCCCCATCTCCTTCATGCAGTGAAGTCCCAAAATTAGCCAAATGAAAAATTGCTGTCAGAAAATTGAAGGAGCCAGGTGTAGAGCTGGGGATACTTCATGGGGCAGCCTGCTGCCGGCCCTAGGGTTTGCTCTGGCTCTCCTGCCTGGACTCTCTGGTGACAGCAGCAGGCTCTCAGTCTGTAGGAACTGAACTGAGAGCTTGGCTAGAGACAGCAAAATGAATGCTTCAGTCAAACACTGCTGAGAAAACAGGGAAGACTTGTCTCTAAACATGTTCCCTGTCCCAGGCTGCCCAAAGGGGAGAGTCCCCTCACTCCTGTTCACTAAGTAAGTATATAGCCCTCCCAAATAGCACGCAGCATCTCCATCCCAATCTTCAAATGGAAAGGAACAGAAAATGTAGAGAACTATTGCTCAGCTGGAGCCTTATGTTCTCTCTTCTCAAGGCTTGTCAGTGACTTTAACAGCCAGCTAAGGACAATTGTGTTTCTGGGAAAACCTGTGGTAATATATATAAGCAGGAGATGGCTTTTGGAATCTGCAGCACTCCAAATCCTGGAAAATAGATGCCCAATCCAAAAAGTAACTGCAACACTTATAGAGTCAATGTTCAAGTGCCAAATGAGAAATAATGTATGATTTCTCTGCAATGATATCTCTTTTCCAGATAGAAAGAGGGCACTACAATTTTCTCCCTGAACAATGAATTATTTTGTGCAGAAAAAGAATTCCTCATTGCTCCCATGAATCACATTGTCAAGAATCACAGAGGAAAGGAAACCGACTCTTTAATAAAAAAAAAAAAATCATTCTGATACTTGGGATATATATATTTCTGATACTTGAGTGGTTGGTGCAAAAAGCCACTCAAGAAACTAGATAACAGATGACCAAATCATCTAGGGGGATACAATGGCATGCTGGTGTCCTCATATCCAACTGCCTGAAAGGCAAATCTTGACTTTCTACAAGATATTCTACCTTGTGCATTCTTGCTGAGGAAGAGACGCTTGGCAGAATGGATGTATAGAGGTAACCCTCCACCTCTCAGTGCTGATGATGCTGCAGGAGAGAAGCAGCCAGCTTTGTTGGTGGGCTGTTACAGTACAGCTGACCTGGGCTGGACACAGTAAATCTGACCATAACACAGATCCAACTCACCTAGCCTGAACATGTCCCTGGGTAAGACACAGGGGACCCTCAGACATCCCCATTCAAGCTGAGAAGGAAGCACATCACTGCCCAGAGATTTGGGTGGAGAGAGAGCCCAGCCAATAGCTATCTAATCCCAGAAGTTTTGAATCAAGTATGAAAGTGAGCTCTGCATAGTAAATGAGGCTGTTTTGTCTCATGAGCACCTGGTTCACAAGTTGTGGAGTTTTCATCTCCCTACCCACAACTGGCACATTGCAGTGGGGTGAAAAGAAGAGCTATTGCCCCTGCAGCACAGATCTCCATGTGCAAATCTATTTCTGGTTCAGAACCCTTTACCCTGCAGATGATAAAGAGCAGAGCAGCAAAGGAGAAAGAACTTACATGGAAACAAACAAACAAAAATACACAAAGAGTCTGTCCTCAATATTCAGGTCAGAATCTAGCTGCCCAAAGTTCAGCAACATTCAGCTTTAGGGTTTTCTTCAAGGCCAAATCTGGGAAAAGGAGAGAATGAAAGATCTCATTATGTGTGTCCATTGCATGGAAAAACCTCTTCAACACACCATGTGAAATGCTTTGTATTTTAGAAATCTATCAACCAGATCTAGCGCACATTGAAGTTAACAGAAAGCTTCCCACAGGCTTTACTGGGCTTTGGTTTAGGTTACATGTTTTAATTCTTTTTTTCCCTACAACAGAGAAGCACAGTAAATTATAGAGGTTCTCCTTGCTCTGTTCCCCTCCAGGCTACAGGCAGCATGCACAGAAGCTTCTCTCCATCTTCTTCCATGCTCATCTTTGATGAGGGCTCCATTAAACTCTCCCAGTTGTTACTGCTCAGAAGGATTTAATGACTGGTGTTCAACCCTGATAGCACTTAATAATAGCATTTACATAAGGAATTTATGCTAAAATGGTTCTATGGCTTGCATGAGACTGTAGGATAATATTATAATAATAATAATAATAATAATAATAAACCAGATACAATGTCTTTTTAAATTCAAACTCTAAGGCAGACATCACTAATCTTAACAGTTAACACAAGTGGAAATACAATCTTGAATCATAAGCTCTCATAATATCATTTTTGCAATTATAATTCAGAGATTTAAAAAGCCGTTTTCCTGTGCTTATTGTTACAGAGATTATAGAAACATAAATGTGCTGATTACATTTTTTTGTAAATTTTAGTGAATACCGGAAGAAATCAATGCAAACAATGTTCTGTTATCAAAACTCAACCTTTCCAAACTTCTGTGTAACACCCTGGGGGCCATGCCTCCTGAATGTATGCAATCAAGCATTTTAAAAGGCCAAAGACCAAAACTTTGGTGATTAAATACCCTACTTAGCCCTGAGAGAAGCATTTAACATATGCTTCTTCAGTGGCATTATAAATTAATTTTATGTCATCGCATCCATAGCATGTTTTATCACTTTTAAGCAGCATCCCCTAAAGTATACAATTACCAGACAGAAACCCTGAAAATGTGAACTGATGTTTGCTGGGAGGAGACATCAAAAAGATCATTTACTATTTTACAGTGCAGTAGATGAATGACCAATAAAAACATCCATTCCAAGGCAGCTTCTTCTTTTACTACTAAAGGTGTCATTGCCTTGTATAAGAAACTCCATTATAAAATGATGCAGCCAGCTCTTCACGATGATTCATTAAACAAGGTTTGGATTTTTCTTGGTTGTTGGCATTTGTTTGTTTGTATTTAAAAATATTTGAGCATTATCAATTTTCTAAGGCAGAGATAGAAAAAGTTTGATTCTGCATCATATTTTCAGGGAAGAAGCAGAGACAGTTCCTTTATGATTAAAATGTAAAAGTAAACTTCAAGTAGTCCCATAAAGCATGTCCAGTCTCATCAGCATTAGAAACATTGCTCAAATCAAACGTATTTAGGCATCCTCATGCAATTCTTTCTAGCCCATCTCTCAGTGATCTCCTCATTATCATGGGACATACTAACAGCTCAATGTTTTGAACATTTTCAAAAACCTCTTGCCGACCCTCCCTTGCTTAAAATTCATCTCTACCCAACTGCTCGACCAAATGCTGCCTTCCCTCTCCTGCTCCATCTCCTCTGCCACTCTTTTTCCTCCTGCTCAGGGCTGTTGCCACAGCTGTTCATCCAGCCAGGGAGCAGCGCCGCTGAATTTTGCAGGAGAAGAGCGACCATAGCCCCTTGCTTTGTTAAGAGACCCTCTGCATTATTTGTTTCATAGGCAGCCACCTTCACTCTCGGATTTCTAAATGGGAGAGGGGAATTAGGCAAGCAGGCAGGCAGATGCCTGTGTAAAAAGCCCTTTCTTATAAATAAATCTTTCAGATTTTAGTTTACCAAGTAGATTAATAATGCAACTACCAGATAGAATTCAGGGAAATTTTGAACAATGCTTTACAAAAATAGGGTACTTAGTTAATCCTGTACCATATTAAAACAGGAAGGTATTTTCAATGTACCAAATTCCCATAAATGTGGACTACCACACTCCCTAGCCAGTGGCAAGGTTTATGCCCTCTAAACATCAGAGCATCTGCGAGGTACTTAAGGATTTATTCACAGGCTGCCACGATGAGGCAGTAGTAAGTTGTGGTGAATTCAGCATTTACAGCACAAATGATGCTGCTGAATTAGTGCTAATTAGTGCTAATTTGACTTGGCCCATTTTGGACCTCTGACAATCGCAGCTCTTCAAATGAAAGCAGGTCTGGCATATGCTCATCTAAGGAAAAATTCTACCTCTCTTTTTCCCTATTATGATATTTCTAGAGAAAAACATTATGAAATTTAAAATATCTGTGATTTCCTAAAGTAGTAGCCCAGGCCAGCTGCCACTACAGATTGATTTCTAGAAGAGAATGTTATAATATATTTGGCATAATGGGGATTGTCAAAAGTATTAGAGCAAAGCTAGGAAGAAAACATGTCACTGAGCATAGATTTGAGTGTTGAGTTACATACTTGTTCAAAAGTTAATAAAGAAAATAATTTTCTTTCTTTTTTTCTTTCCTTCAGATAAGCAAAAGCTGTTTCCCAAAGAGAGAGTCATGAAGAGAGAAGCCAGTTTTTCTGCTTTCATCCTCTGCCTTTGGGCCCTGAATAATTGTACTTGCCTCCCCCCATTTTCACTAGATGAATCAGGCTAGTGAAGAAAAACAGCTTAGAGATGCAGTAGGTTCATCCTTTGAGAAACCTGATGCAGTAAACTGTCTTGATCAGAAATACTTTTCCTACCAAGGTGAGCTACATAATTTGGTTCCTTAAAAAGGGGGACTTTGAAGCTACACTCTGCCTCCAAACACTTGTCATTTGACCCAGAAGGCAATAAGTGAAAAATTCTGAACAAATAAATCAAAAAAGCTGACACACTTTTCCAGGTGGTAAAGCTTTAGTGTGCTAACAAAAGGCTTGATTCTCACTGCTTTTGATCTCTGCAGAATGACAGGCCAACAAAAGCATGACTCGGTGATCGACAGTGTAGCAGAATGAGGCCAACAGAGTCAATACTCAAAAGAAGAGAGTAACTACTCCAGTGATTTCTCTGGTGGGTCAAACTCTGGGTATTGAACATTTTCTAAAAATTGCATTTTAATAATAGTTTTTAAAATGTGCTTAAATGCTTTGAAGACTTAAGTAACACAATACTTAAATAATCCTTTTTCGTGTTTGATGCAGTGCATTTGTGCTTTAGGTCTGCACTATAACAAAAGGAATAGCAAAAATACTAGAAAACTTCTGATGGCTGCTCATTTGATCAAACTATTGGCACTAAAAATGAGTGGCTCTAGCATCTTCACAGGGCAATGGGAAGTGGTGGCAGGGAGGAAATAAATAAATAAATAAAATCACAGGATGGTGCATTGCAACTTCTAATACATGATAAGTAGGAAAATATTTTTGTTGATTAAAAATTTTCAGATCATGAATTTGAGAAGAAGCAATAAATACACACTGAATTGAAGCAGAAATCATTCAAAAGACTGGGAAGAAATAGCATGAGGAATTATGTAAGGCTCTTATCCCATTTTTTACTGCTAAACCTACCAGAAAACTAAAAGAAAGCATACAAAAAAATTAACCCCCAAAACGACAAAAAATGCAACAAAAGTGGTGGTGTGAATAAGATCCTCAAACATCATTATATGGACACATTAACCCAGCTCCCTGTGGCTTTTACAGGGAGCTGCTGCTCACATGAAGTTGAAGTCTGCACTCACAAGTAAGGAAAGCACCCACCACCGTTTGTCAAATCTCAGCAGAGATCAGCCCAGGCCTGCAGGGAAGGGGAACAAACAGGGCAGGACACAACCTTCCCTTTTCCCTTCATTGTTACAAAGATTACTCATGAAATAGATCAGGAACTGGCCAAAGACCATCTGATAAAATATTTGGGAAAATGCACAAATATAAACATAGAAGCATACATTAACGTGAATTTTATTCTCTCCCTCTTTCCTATATTAATGTTGATTGATTGATTGATTGATTGATTATTGTTTTTTTTTATGAGAACTGTAAAAACACTAGTAGAAGAAAAATCTTTTCTACATATATGCACTCACACATTGTGATAATGTCTTGGAAATATGATGATATTCTAAGTTTGTCTTAGTGGCTTTTTACATTTTTGTTTATTTGAACAACCCATCCTTCCTAATGCCACATGAGATAGACACACAGCCTGAACTCTTTTTTGCAGGGGATAATGCACTTCAGGCATTCTCCTTGTTTTGCTCTATTCCAGATTTCTTGATTCTTATACTATCTATTTCCATGGCATAATTATACCTATGGAATTCTCTGATAGCAGCCAAGGATAGAGTTTATTCATAATACTATCCTTTCTCTCTGGCTTCTGAAGGATGAAGGACCACATTTTTGTGACTCCAAAATCAATCCAAACACCTCAAAAAGAAGACAAGTACTGCAATAGCAGAAAATCTTAGAAAATTGATTATCACCTGTCTTTCAATGACCACAGAAGACTGCCAAATTAAATTCCTTAATGTATTTGATGGAAAGCAAATTTTTGAAGCTCTGATTTTAAGTTTGTGGATTTGAGGGTTCAGGTGCAGCAACAATGACTGTTACCACAGGCAGCCAAGAACAACAGGAAAGTCAAAGTACTCGAGAAGACTTCTATAAACAACACCCAGCACCATCTACTGTTAATGCTCCTAATAGCATACTGGCCTTAGAATTGGCCAAAGCAACGTTGCTGGGACTTGGGTAAGAAAAGTGGTTTTAACTTGCAAAATTTCTGTTGTGACTTAGGTACAGACTCTTCATCCCTCTCAGCACCAGGGGGCTCCTGGAAGTGAGAAACTGGAGTCCACTGATTTCTCAGGAAAAACACTTCCAATATATTCTCTGTACAAACCCTGTGGTGCTGTTTGTCTCTGCACTGCAGGAGAGGTACTCGAAGATCAGGGCTGGGCTCTGAACACTGGCCCAAAGTTTTCATCACTAACTACATTCACTCACTATGCACTACTGCAATGAGCACAGTCCTTTCTGTGCACACCTGAATGAATTCTCTTTCATCTTCAAATTGGACAGTTCAGCAAAATGCCACTTTTAATTAGAACTAAAACTTCCATCGATAAATATCTTGCATTTTAAATAAGAGGCAAATTTACTGTGCTGCTGCTTTCTCAATTCCCTTTCTGTTTTCCACTGGTATCTTTTCCCCACCAGTGCTGTGTGTTTGGCAGGTAACACCTGTTTTTAACCCTGCTGATGAAAATGGCAGAGCTGCTGCATAGGTGCACCATGCACACAAATGCTGACAGCACTGAATGCAGAGGGAGCTGAGTATTGGTTGTCAAAGACGATTAAGAACTGTGTGCAACCAAATTCAGGCAAATAATTTGCTGCTCTATAAATACCTCTGTGGCAAACTAAGCTTTAGAATGGACTGATAAGATGACATTATTCACAAAGAAAATAGACTAGAATTTGGGGATATTTTGTTAAAGGAATTTTGAAAGAGGTAATAAGGACAATTAACCATGAGGATACATTCTTTTAAAAGCAGAAGCAGCCAAGACAATTCTCAGATCCAGAGTGTAGCAATCCATTTGCATACCTAACTAACAATTTTCATGCACAATTACCTTGTTATTCAAAATATATTTATGATTGCAAAGCATTTAAGGTGAAATTGAATGCTCAGCCTTTGCATGGTCCAGAGCTATTAAATACTAGTTTGCTGAGGTGTTCAGTGATGTTTCTTAATTGCTGAATTTTACTAAAGTCAAGTACTACCCTTTGTTGATGCAGCTTCAGGCTGATGAGCCCTGGAAAAAAAGACTACTTGTAATACAGAATAAATGGTATTTCTGGAGAGGAAACCTTGCCACTGTTTCAAATGGTTGGTTTTTTTTAAAAAGCCTACATTTTTTATTCCTTTGGTGTGCGAGTGGGTTTTCCCTCAAAATATTAAATAAGCATAACAATGCTTTTGGTCTCTATTGCTACTGTAAACCGAGGGCTGAAATAATTTCACTGACCTGTTCAAAATGTAAGTTTTGTTTTCATGAGTTTTAAAGAACTAGTTTTTAAGAGGTCTGAAATAGAATTGACTGCCAAAAAAAAAGCTTCTGGGGCAAAATATATTCAAAATTTCCAATATTTGAAACAGGCATCAAATAAGTTTCCCTAAAACAATCTGTGTATTCCAGCACCAGGGCACCAGCAGCATAGGCTGGGGGCCAGACTTATCAACACTGGGGGGAAAAAAGTGGATCTTAACACAATAAAAGTATTGTTAAATAATTTTAAGCTAAACATCTTGTGCTTGGATTTTTAAAGAGCTCAGAGTGTGTGTCAGATGGGGGATGATCCATAGTGATACAGTTAAAGTGCAGTTTCAGGATGACCTGCTGGCACATCTCTCTCCATTAGAGCAACTTTTCTCTTAAGCTGTCCCCTCTTGTTCCCAAATGCTTTTGAACAAAGAAAACTAAAAAGTTCTTGACAGTGCTATAAAGGCAAGTAACTTGTGCTTTCCCCTCCCTTCTCCTCATTTCAGTATCCTGACTTACCTCTGGATATAGATGTACACACAGGGAGGAGTGGTTTTGATGCTTTCTCCTTCTCCAAGTACCTCCAGCCACATCCTCACAGATATGTCCATTGACCTTCATGGCTGACACGACTTCCAGGTCTGTCCATGCCCTGAAGTAAAATGAAGCAACAAAGCTGTGTTACTGTAGTCCTAAACCAGTCCCAATATAAAGAGTTGAGAGAGCAGAGTGTTAAACTGGTCAAGCTGACCATGCCTTACAGTTCTGCAAGCCTGGACAAATCATAGGCAGATTTTACTGGAGCAGGACTGGGTTCAAGAGACCTTTGATATATCTTGCCTTTACATCATGGTAAAGAAAGATTCCCCATTTGATGCGTGGGAAGGAAAGTACAGCCATATTCAAAGATGTCTCCAGGTGCCATGGGGAACCTCTGGGGAAGCTCTCACCCAGCCTTTTAGCAGTCACTTCAGTTGACTGCAGTGCCTCCTTGTTCTTCAAGTATCTCCAGACTGCTCTGCAGTATTACAAGCAATACCATGTATTTCTTCAAAAGCAGCAGTAGAGACTAAGCTGAGAGCTGTTGATAATTTCCCTTTGTAATTTCCTTGCCTGGAAAGGGAAACCTCAAGACTTCTGGCAGCGCTCTTCCAGTGCTTCCTTCTCCTCTGAGGAAAATTCCTGTCTGCTGTTTCCAGGCCCAAGGGAAACACAAACAGTTTGCATCTCTGAGTGTGCACACACTATTTGGTCACTAATTCTGAGACCAGCTGTGGTATGAATGCATGGTGAAAGATTTAACTGCAAAAGCTCTTTCTCTGGAGGATCTCCACTACAGTAACATATTACACCAGCTCCATTTTGTAGCTAATGTTTAATTTGTCCATAACTTTGACAATAAACCTGATTTGTGAATATGCATGAACATATCTTAGTATGGTCAATTTATATTTACATTATTAACATAACTTGCTTAAACAAAAAAAGAGTGGTAGATTTGATGAGAGTTTGGAAATGTTCCTTCAAAACCAAGAAGGGCTTGCACCAAAGGTAGAGACAATACTGGTACTGTGTAAAAGTATTGACTGTATTTAGTCATGAATTTTTATTTGTTTCCCTGCTCTCAGCTTTTGAGCAGATACCTCAGACAGCATCTACTTCCTTCCTTCTTTCCTTGTTTTTCTATTTGGATTGCAGACCCATGAAGCAAAATCTTTAATCCAACAGCAGTATAACACCTTGCACAACACAAACCATTTACCTGAAGCTTGGAGCCCCACCTCAGATATACAAAAATGTACAGGAGTGAAGCTACTTAGCATGACAACTGAATGGATTACAGAATATCCAAAGAAGGAAATGCCAAAGACTTTAAATATCATCAATTAATGAAAGAAACTCCTCCTCTCCAAAAGTAATACATAAAGGAATACATAAAATAGCCCTCACATCATTAGAAGAACTCTCTTTCAGCTGTTGCAGTACTGTGCATCCTTGGAAAGCTTAAATGGCTTTTTTTCCCCATGAATTAAGAGAATTTTCTTTTAGCTCCATGTGTAATTTTAAATAATTACACATGAATAAATAAATGAAAATCAAAGAAATTGTCTCTGCTTAGAAAACCAGCTTAATTTGGCACGCTCTGCTGCACACTTTTAAATGCTCAGAATTTTTCAGGCCTTGCTTACAACAAATGCCTCCACACTGTGAAAGTAATCTTTATAAGAAAATATTAAATTAAATTTGGCACTAAGTGAGATGTGAAATTCTTAAGTTACCTCCTGAAAAAGGAGTCATCAGGTTCAGATAGGACTACCATCCTTGTTGCCTCCAAGCACACATTTATTTAGAAAGTAAAAGTCACCAAAAACCATCAAGTTCGGTGAAAAGTAAGTGTTGCCACAAGTCCCCCTTGCTCCCTGCAAGAATGCCAGTATGCTTTTTAAACTGCACTTATGAAATGCCCTCATGGAATGGCTTGCACCGATTCAGCTGAGCTATTCCTGCTTCTCCTGTTCCCGGAGCAGGCTGCTCTCCACAGTGCCTCGGCTGACTTTTGCTGCTTTGTGGATCTCCCAGACCTGCCATGCCATTTACATTGCCCACTCTGGAAATAGAAAGGGTCAGATTTTACTGATTACTCCATCCAGCTCCTTTCAGTAGCTATCACAGGACTTTTTGTAAAAGGGCAGTACTTGTGTCCTAACCAGGAGAATTTGTAGAGGGAACCTCAGCTCTTTAAAGCCTTCCCTCCCTGCAGCCTGAGCCTGCTAAGCAAGGGAACAAGTGTTGAGTCTTGGGGACTCACTTGGCCAGTTTGGCCCTCTGGGAGTGTGTCTTACAGGTGCTCACTATGACAGTGATGCCAATTCTTTGGAACAAAAGCAAAACACAAAAGAGCCAAATCAAACCCCAAAACAAATCTCCCAAATATACCCACAGAAGGAAACATAAAGAAGTCTAATATAACAGCACACAATTTCTTGGAAATATAAATGCACAGAGCCTGCTACTAAAATCAAGTGGTTTTAACATGCTTTCTAAAAAAGGAAATAATTAGCAGTTGTCAGTAATCAAATCTACCTAAACATTAGAAATGCTGAACTTTGAAACATTATAATGGAGACATGAAGTACCTCAGAAGTTATAAAGTTCTACCACTTTCAGGACAGCACTTTCAGAGCGGCCTGAACTGCATTTATTAACATTTCAAACCCACGTGAGTCTCCCTGGAGTCCATGGAATCAGCTCTCCGTCTGTACAGGGTTTTCTACTTACAGGAACTAAGGATCTGAGGACCAGACGCTGCATTGGCATGTCCACTTCATTTCAGGAGGAGTCTGACAGTGTGGTATCACTTAAATAATGAAGCACACATCTGGCAGGAGATTGCTGAGGTTGGCTAAGTTTGTACAAGGTCAATTCATCCTCTAAGCTTCTGTATGCTGAAAATGAAGCAAGAAGTTTACATGGCAATCAGCAGAATCCACCGTTTGATTTCAGGGTTTGTTTTCCAAGTAGCATGTCTCTCTTTGTAAATCAGTTTTGATTGTATAGAAATAGGAGGGAATGGCATTGTATTGCTCTGAGACATATTTTCTGAAATGTTTCAGTAGCTAATGCATACCTATTCAAAAATATGGTGCTTTTTCTTTTGTAAGGAAGTAGAAAAACTACAATGCACCACACATGGCAAATGGAAAACTGTACATATCTCTCACAGATCTACCCCACTACCCTGCTTTGCATGTTTTAGGCTATCCTTAGCAAAGGTGAATAATCCTTTAAGTAGAAATAATACAGGATCAGGCTTTGAAAAATGTATTTAGTACTTCCACTAATTTTCACAGAAGAACAATACCTGCTCAATATGAAATACGAAATCCAGTACCCTAACATATTGTTACCAACTTGCTTTACAGGACTGACATTAATTCTGATAAAAAGTTTCATTTAAAAATTCTTCCTATGTTAAAAGAAATAACTGGCATTTTTATAAATTCAGTGTAACATAGAAATGAGACAAACACAATGAAAAATTACTTTTATCATTTAATAGTCCACAACACTAAAAAAACAACTTAGTGAGTAAGGATTGTAGGTTAAAACTCAGGTCTCAATGATTTTTCTCATTTTAACAATTATACAGAGTAGGATTTCTCCAAAGGTCATGGAAATCAGCTTGCACACCAGCTCAGTGCTCTTACTGCAAGCTATCTTTTCATAGAAATCTCTGGCATTAAAAAAGGGAAAAAAACCAACAAAGAAACAAAACCAAACAAAACAAACTCAAAAAATTTTGCAAGTTTGCTTATTCTCCATGACCTGAAAATACTAACTTCAACATTTTTTTTGTTGCTGTTGCTTTCAAATTTATTGTTGATTTAATGTTGTTGTGGCTTTTTTAATATCTCTATTTGGCAAACATTGATTTTTCATCAATGCTCCAGTCATAGCATGGACCAGCTGCTGTGGAAGTGACAGAGAGATCTCACCCTCACATGCGGGCACATACAGACTGATCAGCAAGATCACCACTCAGTCCATCTCTGACCCTCTTCTTCTGCCAGCTTGACAATGTCAAGTAGGTATCAGGGGAAAAGAGCGGAAAACACTATCAGGACTCTCCTGATGGCCCACCACTTCCATGCCAGGAAACATCAGGGCTCCATAGCTGAGCTCATGTTGATGCCTTTCCTTGTTTTTTAAAAACTGAGAGCCAGACATGGTTAAGGGATAAAGGGTTTTTACGTCAGTATTTAATAAGGATCCTTATGGTGCACCACGTCACCAAGGTGTGATGTGATGCAATGTACACACATGATAGGTCACATATTTTATTGACCTTACAAATTATCATATCTAACAAGGATGCCCAAATGGGAGGCCTATAGCCTCAATGTCACCCAATTGTGTGATATTCCCCCATCCAAGGAATTCCCACCTGGATGGGCCAAATCTCTAGTTTACAGGGTATGTTCTAGAGAGGACCTTGGTTTCCCAAGATAGCATAGTGTTTTCCAGCCTCCCACTAAGAGGCCTTTAGGATGTTTGGTTTCATGGCCTAAAAAAATACTAGGGCTATGCTAAATTATCAGACTTAAGGAATTACAAGTATGCATGCTAAGAATACTGAGGATACATAAAACATATATAAAAGAACAGGCAAAAAATCATCCTGGCATCAGTGTGACTGGGGCTGGCTCCTTCCACAGAGCAACTCAGTGCTTCAGCCACCACGTGTGATGCTTTCTGCTCTTGTTCTTACTTGGCATCTCTTTCCTGGGCTTCTGTCCTGAAGGGACTGAAAACCTAGAGGAGAATCTTAACAGAGAAATATTTTCCTTTAATTGCTTTTCCCACTGGTCACAGTTTTATATTGCCGTCCTGTGAGAAAGATCAGCCTCCCCTACACCCAGGATACTGTAATAGGTGCTTCAACACTGTAACTTCCCATTAAAACAATGGTCTTTTCAAAGAGCTGCCTTTTTAAAAGTAATATTAGTTTTATAAGCCAGTTTTTCAAAAAAAGCAGAAAGACCATGGAAAATTCTGATATGTTGGCAGCAGTCCATTATAATGTCAAAGTAACATCACAGAACCCAAATACAATTTTAAGTATCTCTCATCCATGGTGTGTTTA